AAGCTGCTGCATTATTCTCTTGAATGATACAATATCACCACATAAGTGCTGATATAGGAGGAGAAGAAGTCAAAACCAGAAGCCAAGACTTTGTTAAGTGTTTTTTCCACAAACTCTCAAACATTTCCTGCATCTCCCTCTGTATATCTGTATGTCTCTGAGCTTCTGTGGCGGAGTATCATTAAGATGGCAGCAAAAGCCGACACGCTCATACACTCGTGTCTTCACCCAAGCCGCGAGCAGCCACGGCGTCACACGTCAGGTTACAAAAATTGAGAGGTACACAACCAGCACAAGGTACATAACAGATGATGTAACATCAAAATCAGCGCGCAACACCAGCGACACAGCGAGCATAATGACCCCATTAGGCAGATGAGTGTGTGTACAACACTTTGTGCTTTTAGATTAAGTTTAAAATACTCAAAATGTATAAACCAACTTTATAACTGCTCTGACATTTCTATTCAGTTTACATCAACAGTGGTTATATTTGACTACTGTTGTTATAATGTTACTAAGAGAGCTTATTTCAAACTATACTTGGATTGTAGATTTACATGACAACATTTTATTGATGATACAACAAACTGATCCTTCATTAAGCTGAAAAGTCAGACGTCCAACAGTAACACACACAAAAAAAGGACAGTGTTCCCTTTTTTAATACTTGACTTTTGCTTTTAAAACAGTACATACTGTAGACAGCTAAATGCAGTTTAGCAATATGCTAATAAATGAGTTAAGACACTGGAGGGAGTTCAGAATAGAAGCAATAAACACTGAAGCACACTTTTTTAAAAATGCGCTTATTCATGTTCATTCACAGATAACAAGTAAAAGCTTTTGTGCAAGAATAATGACCATAGAGGTTTTTTTGTTTGTTTTTGGGGTTTTTGGAGTTTTTTTGTATTTTACTTATAATAAAACTTGTAATAAAAATAATTTCTCATGATTGATACCAAAGTAGTGGAGTGTAGCCTGGACTTAACTTGTTAAGTAATTGCTCCCACCTTAATCTTCCAAAACCAGTTCAGACAGAATGGGTAGATAGGCTCTAAGAAGGAGTTTGAGTCTCCAGTTTGCATATTTAAATCATTTCTAAAACTACATCAAAACATACAGTATATATCTGTCAAATAAAAATCTAAAACCAAATCAAGTAATCTTTTATTTGTAGTTTGCTATATAGAGAGTAGGTTAAAGTAACTATATAGAATTATTAAGCATGATAGCTTTTCTCTATGGCATGGACAATAAGATTTTAAAAAAGAGCCCTTATTCTATACCATGCCAATTTATCATCCAAACCTCAACATGTTTAGCATAAAGTTCAGCTTAATTATTACCTCAGTAAAATGTGTATTTCATGGTCCTATACAAAAAATTATGGCAAACATAAAAGATTCTATATGTGCAAAGAAGGAGATTTAGGTCTCATTCACACAGGCCCAGAGACCAGTCGGTGGCCACTGAGCAGCCATTGGTATTTAGGAAGAAATTTGTATTTTCTAACCGGTTATTGGTAGGTGGTGAGGCTGTTGGCTGTCGTTGGGTGAAATTGGTCACAAAGACGTATACGGTGCTGCATTTAAAATCTCCTTGCAATTGCTTCAGTCACAAGCAGATTGCCTTTGTTGTCTGTAGTTTGCATGCTGTCTGCCAACAATCGCTGACTACTTGCCGAGCAGAAAATAAATTGTGCGAACTTTGATCCAAATTGGCAAACACATAACATTTGGCTTCAAATTAAAAGTATCTTCAAAGTTGCTCTCTCTTGCAACCTGTCAGCAACCAAGGCTATCTGCTAACAAAGCAATCACAATAAGGATGGGTAGAGCACCCTCTTTATGACCGATTTCACCTGGCAATAGCTAGAAACCTCCTGCAACCCCTCAATAACTGGTTAGGAAACGCCAGTTTCTCTAGCAACCAGTGGTTGCCAAGGGTCACCAGCTACTGTCTGTGCCTGTTTGGCTGAGGCCATAAATGATTTAAAGAAATGGGAAATAGAAAAGAGGAACCATAAAATGGTTATTATGCTGGTCACAATGACTAATGTTTTCAGTTAAGTTGTCATACGTGTGAGTCTAAGATACTTCTTGGCTATATGTTGCTTTTTTTGTAGGATGCAGTGAAACATAAATAGATTTTTTGGGGCTTATAAATGAAGCATCCTTTACCTACCCTGAACATTCATATGTTCATTACCTTCTGAGAAGGTTTTGCACACTGATGTGTGAAGCCTCTGCACCTACTCACGAAACTTTAGTGATAAAAAACAGGTGAAGGGTCTACAGCTTCCACGCTGCATTAAAGAGATTCATTAAATTCAATTTCTACTGAATATTTTTTTTCAAAGATTGTTTTGAATTTTCATGTTGCCCACCTGAGCCCTTAAAAAAGAAGCATACACTAAAGTTTTAGCTAAATAAAACATTTATAGTGTAAAAAGAACAATGATTATAAAAATGATAATAAGGAGCAGCCAGGATGAACAACCTGCTTATTTTTATACAAAGTTGTTGGGTTTGTTTTTTTTTTTCATAGAATACAACAATCAATATTTATCTGTTTTTACCAGAGCACTACGATAAAAATCACACTGAGAGGCTAAAATGTAATTCTTGTCTTAGTTTTCAAATTTTCACTTTCTGTTGTTTCCTTTCTGCACAGAAGTTAATGATTAAACAAGTATTTCTCTTAAAGGGATGATTGGAAAAACCTTTGACCTCTGTAGAAGTCTTCCTATGTCCAGCAAAATGTCTACTGGGCTTTTTATTTTAATTCAAAGTCATTAAAATATTCAATTAAAAACAAAGTGAATTTTTTTCATTTCTTGTGTTTCTTCATCCCTACCAAGTGTGGTCTGTGATGTATTGAAATGTACAGTCCAATTCAAACCTAGAGTTTCCTCGAGCATGCCCTCACATGAGGTAATACATCACCACGAGGGGCGTGTGAAGAAGAGAGATCGAGCTTCGTGTCACCACAGTCAGATAACTTCCTGGGCTTGGGCCAATTATTCAAGAAGGCTCATCAATTAACCACTGTGACATACAAACAACTATTGGGGCCAGAGGCCTTTTGGCCCTGGGGAATTGAGCAGGAGGCCTGCAGCTGACTTTTTCATATCAATATGGCAACAACACATGACTTTGCTACAAGAGAGTAAAAATAAACCTTACTGTTTTTCACAGAAGACAAATTGATATAACACAGTAGACAAAGTACACATGT